CTGCTTATAGAATATTTAATCTGTCTCTTCATACCGCTTGGGTGGTCTATAACAGACTCCCACTGTGACACTCTGCCTTGTTGGCCTTCCCCCTGATTTTTACCCATAAACACTCAACCCTATCATCACTATAATTAAGCTCTAGATAGTCAAAAGACTCCCTAATGTACAGGGCTACCCCACTGCCTCCCCCCTCGCCTAGCCCTTCTGAAGAGTTTATAACCATCCATTGCAGCACTTCAGTTGTGCAAGTCATCCCACCATGTTTCCATGATGGCAACTGTATTGCAGTTTTCCTGATGAACAATGGCTTCCAGGTTCTCTTGTTTGTTGCCCATGCTGCTTGCATCGGTGTAGATGCGCTTCAGTTGGGCTACTGATCCCACCACCTTTCTGGGGGGAGAAGCCCTAAGTCCTACGTGACCATTCTCAGGCGCTTCTGTGGTTTCTAACACATCAATAACCCATGTGTCTTTGCTGCCACATGGACCTCCATCCCTTAGGTCCACTGAGATGGAAGACCGAAGGACCTCACTAGCACACCATCCCTCAAACATTGGCATGCTGCCCTCAGGCTTACCTCTAGTGAGCCTGGTTTTATCCTTCCTCACCTTCAAATCTAGTTTAAAGCTCTTTCAGTGAGCCCTGCTAATTCCTGTGCAATGATCCTTTTCCCTAAGACAGGTGTACCCCATCCGTTGCCAGCAGGCCTGGTGTCATGTAAACCAACTCATGATGAAAAAAACCTAAATTCTGACGGTGACACCAGGCTTCATCATTCCCTGCAACAGGAAGGATGGAGGAGAATTCAGTGGTGCCCACTGACAAGCCCACAGGCCATGGGCATGAACTGAAACACAGGATGTTACACTTGAACATCAGGGAAGACTTTTTTACTGGGAGGGTATCGTGGTTTGGGCCTGGTCAGCAGCCAACCACCACGCAGAAGCTCTCTCTCCCTTCTCTTCTGGCAATAAGAAGGGACAGAGAGAGAGGCTTGGGGTTCGAGATAGGACTGGGATGGGGGAAAAATCCCCCTTTATGATCACGAGCAAAAGGCAGACTTGTTAGGGGAAGAAAAAAAAAAAAGAACATACATTTATTACAGACACTAACAACACATAACAGAGTAGGACAGTGAGAAACATTGCCACATCTTGAGAACACCTCCCTCTACCCCTCCCTTCTTCCCGGGCTCAGTTCTGCTCCCGATATCTCTACCTCCTCCCCCCAGTGGCGCAGGGGCAGGGAATGGGGGGGTGCACTCAGTGCTGCCACTTCCTTTATCTTCGGTGGGGGGAGCTTCTGGAACTCATTCCCCCTGCTCCATCGTTGACCCCTCTCACAAGAGACAGTTCTCCACAAACTTTCTCCAACATGAGTTCCTTCCATGGGCCGCAGCATTCCCCATGCTGCTCCGTCACAGGTCACTAACTTTCTCCGACTGGATTCTCTCCCATGGCTGCAGCCCTTCCCGAGCTGCTCCGGCGTGGGACACCCCCGCATGCTGCAACCCTCCCAGCGCTGAATTACAGCAGCGGATCTACCTTTTCCCACAAGACCCTGGCCTTCTTTGGACACAGCACCTTGATCATCCAGGCGGAAGCCACAAGCCATAAATCAATGTCTGCTCCACCGTAGATCTTCATGGGTGGCAGGGGGGGGCCGCCCTGCCGTCTCCCCACAGGATACAGGGGGGTCTCTGCTCCGGCACACCTCCCCCCTCCTTTCTTCCTCCGTTCCTCCACTGACCTTGGTGTTCACGCAGCTGCCGCAACTCCTCCTCACAAGTCCCGCTCCTCGTCACCACGTCCCTTCTTAAATACGTTATCGCAGAGGCGCAGCTGATTGGCTCAGTTTTCCAAACAGAGGTGGAGCTGACTTGGAGCTGGTGGAGCTTCGAGAAGCTTCTCACAGGGGGCCACCCCTATAGTCCCCTCCCCTGACACCAAAAAAAACTCCACCACTCACTCAACCCAGGACAGAGGGTGACCACGCACTGGAACAAGCTGCCCAGAAAGGTTGTGGTTTCCCTCCTTGGAGTTATTTAAAAGCCATCTGGACATGGTCCTGGGCAGCCTAGTCTAGGTGGACCTGCTTGAGCAGAGGGGCTGGACCAGATGACCTCCAGAGGTCCCTTCCAACCTCAACCACTCTGTGATTCTGTAAACTTAACAGTAGGCAGACATGATCTTGCTAGCCCTCATACTATAAAATTACAGCTAGCTTCCAAACAGTCCTTCCATACCAATATTAAAAAGCTCCACCAAGCACTTCTGAAGTTGTAATGGAATCAGCAGACCACAAGAATGAGGTCAATGCTGCAAACTTTAGCAAGAATTCAGCTCATGAGGGTTTATAACTTTATGGTGAGCCAGCAAAACTGTAATATGATCTCTACCCTGTAAAAGCGCAGGCCTGGCTGAAACTTCTGTGTATGTCTTGATTCCCTTGCTAGGGCTGCAAAACCCAGAGGAACTGGAGAGAAAGCTACCAGCCATAGTACTGATGCATGCTCTAATAGTCACTGAGAACATACCTCTTAGGGGCAAGAGCGTCAGCCTGTACCTTGTGTAGGGTGCCAGGATTCTGGAAAATTCAGGTGTTGTATGCTTGGGTAGTATTCAGGGGTGCTTTTTTTAGCCTCCATCAAACCAGTGGTTAATGAGGGACAGAATGGATTGGGCCAATGTCTGGGCCCACACTGTTGTATCAGGAGATAGAAAGAGCATGGCAGGTGAAGCAGCCTCACCAGACCTCATTCACTACACTAAAGGAAAGAGCTATGATCCCATCTTCTACCGCTACTGTATTGGTTTGACCCATTTTGTAAAATGTGGACAGATCCAAGCGAATCCTCTGTGACCAGCTTTATATCCAAGTCTCTACTCATAGAACGTCAGAGGCCTCAATTCACATCAAGTAACTGAGGAAGGATGTAGCTCTCCATGTCTCAAGATGCTGGGAGTGTCTGATGCCTCTCACTCTTGCTGTGGCTAGGGCAGGAGGAGATGGTCTCCTTGCCAGCAGGAGGTGTGCACTCATGGAGGATCTGTTGCCAAAAGAGCTGCAGGAAGAGGTTAGAAGACTGCAGCATCAGAGATAACATGCAAGAGATTGACTGGATCTTCCGAGACCCTGCAGCTTCAAGAGCCCAAATCCCCAACTGTACTGAGTCTGAACTTATCTAGCTGGGAAATAAAGACTCTCATGATGACAAGGCAGGAATCCTGTATCTTCCAGCAGCAGGAGTTGCCTGCTCCACCTGAAGTTCTGCAATTACAGGAGGAAGCAGCAAGTGATTGTAGTGGGAAGAGGTCCCTCTGAATGGCATCGATTCCCTCCAGTGTATTGACTGCACCATAGAGCTTAGTGTCATCGGTGAACTTGCTGAGGGTATACTCAACCCACTATCCAGGTTGCCAACAAAGATGTTAAACAGCACTGATCCCAACATCGGTCTATGATTTGACCTGCTATGCAGTGCTTTTTCATATACCTAACACAGACAATAAATTCATAGTCTACTGCAGAAACACAAATAGATTATCAATGGTAATATTGTGCTTTGCAATCATTTGACCAGTATAAACAGAAAATGACACAGGCAGAAAGAGAAGCCTCTCATTCTGCCTTAATTAAACTGTCTTTATTAAAGTACTATTATCTTCTCAGCAAAAGAGGACCCAGACAGAAAAACTCCTAACAGCACAGAAAAACAAGGACACCAAGGCATCAGCTTGCATACCAGTGTACTCTGATAGAGCCGTAACGTCTTTCTTGTAATAGAGTAAAACATTTTGCCTTAATTTGGCCAAAACACCGAAGCAAATTTCATGTTACTCAGCTATAACAAAACCAGAAAAAGCAGCCCAGATGAATAATCTCCAAATGAATAATCCAGCATGGTCTCAAGAGAAGACGAATTGATGTTCAGCCCCCCATAATGTTCTGTACCTATCTCCTACCCATCATCTCTGAGGGGAGAATGCAGTCCTAGGCAACTGGGAAGATTACATCTGCATGGCGTGTTCAACACTTCATCAAAAGCCACAGCATACATTTCATGGCTGGATCTGGATGTTTCTTTAACCATTATCCCCTACGTGGTCGTTCTTTCACTCTCTCTGTATTCATAAATATTTAGCTATCTGTGTCATATATCAAATGACATAGTTAAGACGATGTCCAAGAAGATACTGGTTTATGTTACCTTAGGCAGCAGAAGGATAAGAATGTAGTCGCTCTCCAAAGTGAATAAACACCTCGATAGATCACTGAAGCCCTAGGTTAAAACTGGTTGCAACATTTCCTTTTCTGCGCTCATTTCATAAGACAATACTGACTTAACTTTCTAAAACCATGAAAAGGATGCAGCTGACTGTTTAAATACAAATAAGGAAGCTAACTTTGATGGAGGAATGGGGCTTAATCTGTACTACTGTCCATAACATTTTCTACAGGTAGCTTCCAGTCCAGCATGACTTAGCAGTTATATTTTACAATCTGCTTTATGAATTTGTAAGCTTCAGGCATGCCTCTATTAGCACTTCAGTACTTACTTGCTGCTGAAGTTTTATGGACAAGATCTACTGCCTACAGAAGGTACAGACTTAATAATTCGACAGTGGAATTTTAATTTGTACTCCAAACTACAGATATAATACAATACTATATGACAAAAAAAATAAATTTTAGAAATATGTGTATTTTTAGATTAGCAGAACGACTTGTCAGTTAATTAGGAACTTAAAAATGCAAATATGCATATGTGCACATATGCTTCAATTGAAGACATAGGCCAAACATGAAAAATTTTACATCAAACATTACATCAAACATTTTAGCTGCCAGAATCATAATTTGAAAGTGTACATATATAAGAGGGCATGACTGGGGATAAAAGCAATGGTCACACATGTGGCATAAATGCTTGCTTAGAATTTATGATTTTTCGTTCTGTTACAGCTTGCCAGAGTTTGATACCCTCAGTGTGGAATATGGCATCCAATACAAAGCAGATGAAACAAGACACCACGCGTGCTAGGAAGAAAAAGCAAGAAGTAAAAACCAAGAATGGAGACGTATCCAAAGGAATAAGTGATATGGAAATACTTGCCAAAGAGAGAAAATCGTACTTGCAGAAGGAATACAAGATTCTCACTGAACATATGAACACATACCTGGGAAGAGTGGCACATTTCCTGCAGGAAAATAAATTTCTAGAAAAGGAAGCCAAACGGAATCAGGAAGAGAGCAACGCTTACCTCTCTTACATAACAAAACACAGCCAGAAGTGCCAGAATATGATAACAACATTAAATGACCAGAATCACACTGATCTGTCTCAAGTTTGGATGCAGAAAGAGAAACTAATCTCACAGTACACAGAAAAGGAGAAGGAGGTAAGGAGCGCTCTGATGAATATGGAGACAAAGTACTCTCTTATGAACAAGGAGGTTGAAGATCTGCAGGCTTTCAAGTATCCATGTCTTCAGCTGGAACAGACGAAAAAAATTAAAGAGCTAGAGAAGGAACTGTCGGTCACTAAGATACAGCATTCAGATGAAATGCACAAAATCAAGAGCAGATTTCTTCAGGCCAAGGCTGACTGTGAGATGGACTTTCATGAGAAGATCCAGATTCTCACCACAAGAGCAGAAGAAGCAGCGATACAATCTCTAATCCAGTATATCAAACAAGTAAAAGCAGAGAATTGGCATCTGCGCCAGGAATTGCTCAGACTCATCCAATACTCAAAAATCCTTAAAGAAACCAAAGTTCAACTGAGAGAGCAGCAGCAACAGCTTCTTCGGGAGAACCAATACATTCAGGACATGGCACACATGCGCCACTGGTTACGCCAGCATGAGGCACATAGTGCAAACTGTGAAACCTACAGCTCTCACAGCCCACTCAGATATGTCCATTAACCTAAAAAACCACTTCATTCCTCACTCATGCCAATGTATCAGTAGACACAGCTGGACTGTGAGCTGTTCTCACTGTTAGTTAGGTAACGGAGTACACAGGAGTAAATGTTCTGTAGGTGGATGAAAGGATTGATTTGCATAGCTCATGCTCAGCATGCAATTCAGACAACAGATCTTAAAAGTAACCTCATCTTTAACTTTCATGACATCTGTATTAAGACATTTGAAACTGCATCCCTTCACATCTCGATATAAATTACATTTTTGCTTTGAGATCAGACTCTGATGTTTCACTAATTAGTGATTCTCCTTGGGCAAACTATATTTTTAGACATACGTTTACTGCAAACTACATCTACAGATACCATAGTATAAACCACTGTAGGCCACCTCTTACAGCAACTTTCACTTTCCCAAATCTTCTACATGGCAAAGACTTTATTTTACTTTCTGCTAGTCTCCAAAGGAGAGAAAATAAATATGCAAACAACCAAGTCCTTTAAACAATATAATTACTTCAGGTATTTGACCCTTGGTTCATAACTATCAATAAAATATATTCACTGAACATATTAATACCAATTTTTACTTTCTTCTCATTAGTTTCTCGTTTTAGTATTTCCCTTGAGAAGCAAGAGGCAAAAAGCTGTGTTTCTAATAGACTGCTGATTCACCTTCCAACTTGAACATTTCTGGATTTGGATTACCTCATCAACAATGACACCAGAAGTCACCCTCACTCTAAATTTCAACATTCAGTCTGGGATATTTTATACAGAAGCAGACCTTAGTTGAGAGTGGAAGAGAACTCAAAGGAGGGTCAATCAGAGCAGGGCCACTTTCAGTGGCTTCTGAGTATCTCCAAGGACAGAGATTCCACAGCCTCTCTGTGCAGCCTGTTCCAGTGTTTGATCACACAGTAAAAATGTTTTTTCTTAAATTAAATTGGAATTTCAATTCCATCAAAAAATTCAATTTCAGTACAGTCTGGTTCTGTCTTCCCCCCGGCTTTGCCTGATATTTAAACACATTAATAAGATCCCCTGAGCCTTCTCCAGGCTAAACAATCCCAGGTCTCAGCCTCCACCTGTATCACAGATGCTCCAAGCCTTAATCATCTTTGTAGCCCTTTGTTGGACACAATCCCGTACGTCCATGTCTGTCTTATACTGGGGAGCCCAGAACCGTACAAGATACTCTAGGTGTGGTGTCTCAGTGCGGAGTAAAAGGGAAGGATTGCCTCCCTCGAACAGCTGGCAAGTCTCTTCCTAGTGCAGCCTCAGATGATGTTCACCACCTTCGCTGAAAGAGTACATTTGTACATTGAAGACAGACCCCTGAAGAAGTAAATGACCACCAGAGACAGATCTGAGTCTGCGCAAACTAACCCCAACTCGCTTATGCATATGTGTATTTATGTTGTGTAATACCATGAATAAGTATACCTGCACTGCATAAATTTCTGGCAAAATGTGCTGTGGGTGTGCAAGCCAGGAGGAGCAAACCTCCTTGCATCCAGCGCTGCAATAAATATACCTGCTTTATAACTCTTTGTGAGTTGTAAAGTTTGTTTCCGTGCTTCAGTTGCTAGACTAAAAAAAAAAAAAAAAAAAAAAGTAGCAAAAATTTTACAGTTCATTCGAATGGTATCCGTTGCTCAGAGCAATGTCTGACATCCTCCACTGACACCCGCGCCCTTCTTCGAAGTTTGTCGCATGAAGGACACGATGCGTTACCCTGGAGTTTTACACTGCCTGCGCCGCTCCCCCGCCGCACCCCCGGAGCGGAGAGCGGCCCCGCCGACACCGAGGGGAGCCTTCCGGCGACGCGGGGCTCCTCCAGCACCCGCGCAGCCGAGCGCCCGGCAGGCAGAGGCTGAAAGAAACCGCCAGCTGCCTCACCGCGCCCCAGGCCCCGCCGGCGGGCCCTCAGCGCCCGCGACCGCCGCACGAGGCTCCCCGCTGTGCGCCTGCGCGGCCTTGGGCGCCTGCGCTGTGCGGCGGGGCTGTTTCCATAGCAGCAGAAATCAACAGGGAGGGTGAGGCGGTGTGGCCGCCCTCCGCCTCGGTCGGAGTGCCCGCCCGCCAGAGCGGGGTGCCCGTCATGAGCGTGCCCGAGGTGGAGACGCTCGTGTCCCAGAGGTACGAGATCAAGAAGCGCCTGGGCAAAGGGGTGAGTGCCTCGGGGGGGGGGCCTCGAGGGGTCTCGGGAGCCGGGCGGCGGGGTCCAGCGCTGCCCTGTGGGCCGCCCCGGCGGCGCCTTTGCAGTCTCTCGGTCGCTGCCGCAGGCCGCTGACCTGAGCCGCGTCTGGCTTCGGAGGTCTGAGAGGTTATACAGTTGAAAAAATACTGGACTTTGAAATAGTTATTATGCCTAGTAAAGAAAAAAAAAAATAATAAATCGTGGCCTGGTAACTTTCCATGACGTCTTATACTTGTTTCACAACGAAATTTCAGAGGAAGGTGTTACTTTGTAGCATGTGAAACTGAAAATACCTGTAAATTCCCCGTCAGGTTTTTTTTCCTGTGATTTACTGGAGAACTGCCACACAAAGCACCAACCTTGCATGTACACCTGGTTTACAGTAAAATGAATCCAAGTCTCAAAGTATAGTCTGTTTTTGTCAAATTCTTTTGCGTTTACCGTAACCCCATTACTTCAGGTGTTATGCTGCATCAGGTGCTTTTTTCCCCATAAAATTACATGCTTTGTATGTGAGCCAAGGTTAATTTCTATGATCTTTCTCCTCGAGCAGTCTCTAAACCTTTTCTGATGATCTGCTTTTATATTCTCACAGCTCTTTGCCATTGTTTAGTTGTGTTGATACTAGTAGTCAAGTATTTCATGTGCAATTACAAGGGGGCACTTCAGAGAGGCTCATTTTCTTCATTATCCTCTAAGACAGTATTCTGGTTTTCTTCTTTTGAATTCACACTGAGCTTTCTTATGGCTATACTTCATTCTAAGTTTGCTTCTGACGAGGTTTACTGCCATCTTGTTACTAGCTTTCTCCCTTTGACTGAATATTACATCCTTTAACATGCTAGGTTCTTTGAACAGAATGATATCATTCTTTCATCTGAAATATCAAATTGTTTGACAGTTCTATTTGGAGACTGTTTCACAAACATAACTACATACATTCAGGTCTTTAAACAACTTTTGTGCCTTCAGGACTATCATCTAGGCATCACTGACATTATCAAAACTACTAGTCAAGCTCTTAACTCAAGGGTTCCAGTCTCCTAAATACCTGTGTTTTTTTGCCTCTTGTATGCAGAAAGTTCTGTGAGTATTGTGTATGTACGCAGCCGATATACTTCCCTGAGCATTTAAAAGGCTGTTGAAGTCCCTGAAACAGGTGAGGACTGCCCAAAAAGTAGAGCAGAGAAGTCCAGCCAAGGGAGATTGTTGGGAAATGTTGCAATGCAGTGCTGCTGCACAAGCTGTTCTATCAGCTCTGTCCCCTGTATAGCCCCAGCCCAGGGCTGCATGCGCAGTCAACTGAATAGAGCATTAATAAAATGTTGTAACAAAGGTAATGATGTGCCTGACAGTTCAAAGGATGTTGATGTATGAGAAACTGGCCCTTAGCTACCGAAGCAATGGGAGATCTATCATTGTGACTACTAAGAACTGAGACGTACAGAACTTGAGGTAATCTCCCTTGAAGACTAAAGAAAGAAGAAACAAACAACGAAGTGGTCAGGACTCCAGAACAAGATGTGAAACCCACTGTCAAGATAATAATGACTGATAAAGTATAATTCTGTGTATTCTGGATTAGGTAATGCTTTGTAGGTGCATAAATACATGTATGCGAACTCATGTAAGCTGTCACTCTCTGCGGAGGTGACCCAACGCTGCTGGACCTGAATAAAATCCTAGAGTAACCCACGACGGAGTTCGAGTCTCCTTTAACAGTTTTGGCACCCCAGATGGGACTCTAGGCTGTGACGGGGAGGACGAATAAAAGAGGATCCCGATATTACATCCTACAAACTGCCGGCTACAGAAAGGTGAGTTCAAGTCTCCCCTTGTCTGTGTTTGTGGGTTGGAATAGGAAAGGATCACTCTGAAATACCCCTCACAAAGAAAATTGCAGAATGGGAGGATATCCTTCAGTACCTAAAGGATCTCCCTTGGCAGAATTATTAGCAAATTGGAATAAACTTTCTGGGACAGCAGGGTTGAGTAAAAGTAAAATTATAGTGTTATGTCAAGATGACTGGCCATTTTTAACCAGAATTAGAGGGGCAGGTCCCCAAGAAGTATGGCCACCTGAAGGTACCTTCGATGAAACTAGGTTGAAATGTTTGAGATTGATATTAGAAGATAGGAATCCGCAGCAGATGAATTATTTATTTTTATGGCTGGAATGGGCCGATTTGAGAAATCGTATGGCTCTAAAGAAACCTATGAAAAGAGAAGAATTAATTGCCTTCCTTGATGATCATCAGGGAAAGAATCAGAACCAGAGTTCCCATCCACAATCAGAAGGGAAATCTGTTGTAGGACAATATCCTATGGTAGTGGAATTTCATTCCAATCCTAGAGTAGGCCCCAACTCAGGACCTGAAGTTCCTCCAGTTATTGCAGTTTCCACACACCAACCCTGGAAACCTGGTGATTTGATGTTGTGGCAAGAGAAAATGCCAAGGTTAAGGGACAATGCTGAAAAATGTGCTAAGTTTTTGTCTAGTATTATTAGAGACTATAAGCCCAATTGGGAGGATATGCAAACTTTATTGCAGGAGTTGTTTACAAATGAAGAGAGAGAAAGGATTATGCTGAAAGATCGTGAAATGAGTCAGAATACACCCGGGAGACCAACTTGGCCACAGGCTGATCCGAATTGGCAGATACACACACAAGATGGGTTACAGGCTTGGCGAACTGCGACTAATTTATTAATAGAAGCGGTACGCCAGTGTGAAGAGAGAGTTACCAATTGGGCGAAAGTCCAGGAATGTACTCAACGCACCGATGAACACCCTAGTGATTATTGGCAGAGATTAAGAACAGCACTGTTACAACACGGAGGGATGACTGAACAAAATTTTCAGGAAGCTTTAGCTATTAGTGTGTATGTTAATCAAGCAGCCCCTGATATTCGAAAATATTTTCAGAAACATATGCCTGGCTGGCAAAATGAAAGCTTGCAGAAAATCATTTCAGTAGCCAACTTTGTATATAATGGTAGAGATGCAGAAAGACAAGAGAAATTAGAAAAAGAAAAGAGTGAAGAAAGGAGGAGATTAGAGAAACAGCGGGAGGAGGAGAGAAGGCGAGAAAGAAAAGATAAGAGGGATGACATGTATTTACTAGCAGCTGCTTTAGCCCAAAATATGCGAGGGCGAGGTGTTCTGAGAGGAAATCGGGGACCGAGAAGGGGATTTCCCCCCGGTAGAGGTAGAGGAGGATGGCGTCCGGTTCCTCCTACCACAGGAGGTACAGTAGAATGTTATTGGTGTGGGAATGTAGGCCATATGCAAAGAGAATGTCCTATTCGCCCTAGGCAGACTCTAGAACAAGCTGCTTCACCTTACATCGGAGGAGCTGTTCCTCGTCAAAGAAGTTTCTCGCAGTAATGTCAGTACCGCTGAATTCGGATGGACAATTGATTGCTGAAGTGAATGGTCGACGAGTTATCTTTTTAGTAGATACTGGCGCTACGTTGTCTTTGTTAAATTTTGATGAATTTGAAAAATCCAGTGATAGGATAATTATAAAAGGAGTGATTGGAGCGGAGGAGAAAGCCCTGACAAAACCCTTACCCATTTCAATCGGAGATAGACATACTTGGGCTCGGTTTGTAGTTTCCCCAGGATCCCCTGTATCTTTACTTGGAAGGGATATTTTGCAAGATTTAGGAACTCAAATTGCTTTGGGAAAGAAAGGACTTTTCCTGGTTTTTATAGGGTCAGCTGTAGTTGTAAAGGGAGAAGTCCAACAAGTTCCCTCAATACCATGGGAATTGAGAGAAGTTCCCAGTGCCCTATGGAGTCAATCTAGTAAAGATGTGGGACTTCTGAAATCTGCAACCCCCGTAAAAATTAAGACTAAAGGTGGTATACCCCCAGCAGTTAAGCAGTATCCTATCGTAGCAGAAGCTATTCCTAGTATCACTAAACAAATACAGAATTTTTTGGATAAGGGCATTTTAAGACCTACTGTTAGTCCTTTTAATACTCCCATTTTACCTGTAAATAAAAATCGAAAGGATGAGGATGGAAATCCTGAGTATCGGTTTGTTCAGGATTTACGAGCTGTAAATGAATATGTAGAACCCCCACATCCAGTAGTTCCCGATCCTTCTACTATCCTTACAAAAATACCAATTTGGGCGAAATACTATACTGTTTTGGATTTGACCGGAGCTTTCTTTACAATACCAATTGACCCTGACAGCCAGAATTTATTTGCCTTTACATGGGAAGGTCGCCAGTATACCTGGACCAGACTTCCTCAAGGATTTACTGCTTCACCAACTTTGTTCTCTCAAATATTAAAGAGAGACTTACAAGATCTGGAACTACCGGCTGGGTCAGAATTGATACAATATGTGGATGATTTGTTAATTGCAAGTAAAGATTATGACAGTTGTGTAAAAGATACTAAATATGTATGTCTTAGATTATATGAGAAAGGACATAAAGCATCTCTCTCCAAATTGCAGTTTTGTGAGCCTGAGGTAAAATATTTAGGGTTTATACTAGCCGAAGGTACTAGGAAATTAGATCCAGATAGGGTACAGGCAATTCAGGAAATCGCTAGACCTTTGACTAAGAAACAAATGAGAGCCTTTCTTGGACAAGCTGGATATTGTAGACCGTGGATACTGGGTTTTTCAGAGATTGCAAAACCTTTGGTAGAGACTACTAAAGATGTGAGCCCAGAACCCATACCATGGACGGAAGAATTGGAAACAGCTTTTATGTCCATGAAGACTGCCTTGGTAAATGCTCCAGCTCTTGGGTTACCAGATTACAAAAAACCTTTTAAATTATATGTAACAGAGAACAGAGGAATTGCGAAGGGAGTATTAATTCAGAAGCATGGACCCTACGAACGTCCTGTAGCATACTATTCTGTCACCTTGGACCCAGTTATCAGAGGATCTCCATACTGTCTGCGATCTATTGCCGCAGCTGCTGAGCTGGTGGAAAGGCAAGGAATATTGTGCTAGGCCATTATCTCATAGTTGCTGTTCCCCATGAGGTTGAACTTTTACTAACTAAAGTATGCAGAAAAAGCACTCTTCTGCACAAAGGACACACAGATATGAAATTATCCTTTTGCTAACAGGAGAATGTCGAACTTGAGAGATCAAGGACTCTTAACCCTGCTACCTTACTCCCAGTGACTGAACCTGAAGATCACACGACTGTGTAGCTGTCTTGAAAACCATAAGCAAGACTAGAGAAGATTTGAGGGACACTCCGGTGGAACACCCTGATTTGAATCTCTTTACTGACGGATCTTCCTTTTATCTTCACGGTAAGAGATTTACGGGCTTTGCAATAGCTACTGAAAAGTTTGTTCTCATTGCTGAACCCTTGCCACCGACATTAGGAGCTCAAGCTGCAGAATTGATAGCACTAACCAAAGCAGCATTGTATGCTAAGAATAAACGAGTTAATATTTACACTGACTCGAAGTATGCCTATGGCATTTGTCACGCAGTCGGTGCATTGTGGAAAGAAAGAGGCTTTCTAACATCTGCAGGTAAAACCATTGCACATGGGTCTTTGATTAATGACTTGTTGTTGGCAATACAAGAGCCAAAGGAAGTTGCGGTAATTTATATACCTGCTCATACGAAGCGCACTGATCAGCTTGCGACAGGTAATTTTCTTGCAGATGCCGCAGCACGAGCCGCCGCTACTAGAAATTACCCCACGACTGAAGTTGTGGTTGCTAATTTCTTTTCTATCCCAAACCCTGCTACCCTTTATCATGATGTCCCGACCACCGAAATGGAAGAAGTGGAAGAAGATGCAAGCTGTGCAAGATAAGGGGATCTGGACCCTGAATGGTAAACCTCTATTGCCCAGAAGGTATGTACTGCCGCTTGCGCGTTGGTACCATGAGAAGGGGCATGGAGGTCCCGAAGCAGTAGCCTCAAAGGTAACGCAGCTATGGGCAGCACCAGGAATCTTTTCAGCAGCTAAGAAACTGACTGAAGGATGCTCTTTGTGTAAGAGATATGGAGATATAAGGCCAAAAGTAACGCCAGGGAAGAGGCCGCCAGCAGTCTATCCTTTTCAGAAACTTCAGATTGACTTTGCGGAAATGCCAGCCGCTCTCGGATATAAATACTTGCTGGTAATAGTAGATCAACTCTCTGGGTGGGTAGAAGCTTTCCCGACCCGGAAGAATGATTCAAAAATAGTTGTAAAAATCTTGCTTAAGGAAATCATTCCTCGATATGGCGTACCTGAGGTGATAGACTCTGACCGTGGACCGCATTTTACAGCATCTATTTTATTACAAGTTTATGTAACCCTAGACATCAAAGGACAGTTTCATACTCCGTATCACCCACCTTCATCAGGGCAAGTAGAAAGAATGAATAGAACAATTAAGGAGAAGTTAGCGAAAGTATGCAGTGAAACTGGATTAAAGTGGCCAGAGGCATTAAATTTAGTTTTATGGGATCTTAGAACTACTCCAAAGCAGCCGTTAGGAATTAGCCCAGCAGAGGTCCTATTTGGACGAAGTTTTAGCTGTACCTGGTTCGTATATTTCAGCAAAAACTGCACTACTGGACGGAGATGAGAATGTCACTCAATATTTATTATATTTACAAGATTCCTTTCAGAAAATTAGAAAATATGCATATTGATACCAAGGTGTGACACCAGAAGTACAGGTTCATGATTATAAAGTGGGAGATGAAGTGTTGGTAAAAACATTTAAACGAAAGAATAAGATGTTGCCAAAATAGGAAGTAAGCCATATGATGCAAGTTGTGCAACGAGACAATGTATCCTGGGATGTTAGTGATTTATGGCAATGGGCTACTTCTTGGATTCCTGATTTTCCAACTTTAATCAAGAAGATTCTAATGGTAGTCGTTTTAGTCATAATCATTTTGATCATGGTAATGTTTGTATGTCAGTGTTGTGTCTCGTGTTTATCTCGTATTCCCACCAGACCCTATTGTATCCGATAGGATAGTGAGTATCCTAAAAGAAAAGGGGGGACTGTTGAGAAAATGTTGCAATGCAGTGCTGCTGCACAAGCTGTTCTATCAGCTCTGTTCCCCTGTATAGCCCCAGCCCAGGGCTGCATGCGCAGTCAACTGAATAGAGCATTAATAAAATGTTGTAACAAAGGTAATGATGTGCCTGACAGTTCAAAGGATGTTGATGTATGAGAAACTGGCCCTTAGCTACCGAAGCAATGGGAGATCTATCATTGTGACTACTAAGAACTGAGACGTACAGAACTTGAGGTAATCTCCCTTGAAGACTAAAGAAAGAAGAAACAAACAACGAAGTGGTCAGACTCCAGAACAAGATGTGAAACCCACTGTCAAGATAATAATGACTGATAAAGTATAATTCTGTGTATTCTGGATTAGGTAATGCTTTGTAGGTGCATAAATACATGTATGCGAACTCATGTAAGCTGTCACTCTCTGCGGAGGTGACCCAACGCTGCTGGACCTGAATAAAATCCTAGAGTAACCCACGACGGAGTTCGAGTCTCCTTTAACAGAGATAAGCTGTCTCCTGTACAGTAAGGGAATTCAAGCCGGGGCTTTTTTGGGCATTTTTGGTTTTGTTTTTGTTTTTGTTTTCATTTAATAGCTGTATTGTCTACTAAGGGAATAGGAACTTCTACACAAGTTTTCCCTGTTCTTGACGACTGTATGATACCTGCAAATGGTGATTATTGAGTCTCTCTTGTGGAAGGATCCAGTTTTCTTATTTTTAGGTCATAGATTTGAATCTTAAGATTCCACATTCTAGGAGATGCCTTGCATGTGCACAGTGGAGTCATGTCTGACTCAGAAATGCCCAGATATTATTTAAATACTTGTACAAAGTAAAACAGCTGCAATATGTGATACTGAGTGATTTTTGTGCTTAAATACTCAGTGACATCGAGGCAGACTTCCCAAGAATATGTGTAGCCCTTTGAATATGGGTTCAGGTCCTTTGCCGTGCATCGGGAAGTACGAACAGCTGAAGTATAAGTATCTCAGATAAGTACTATAATACTACACTGTTGACAATTAGGATGTCTCTATTCTTTTTTTCCCCAAGTAGCAAGTGATAGAATGAGAGGAAAAGACCTGAAATTGCACCGGGGAGGTTTAGATTGGATATAAGGAGAAATTTCTTCATTGGAAGGGCTATCAAGCATTGGAACAGGCTGCCCAGGGAAGTGATTGAAGGGACTTAAAAGATGTGCAGATGTGGCACTTAGGGACATGGTTTAGTGGCGGACTTGGCTGTGTTAGGTTAATGGTTGGACTTGCTGATCTTAAAGGTCTTTTCCAACCTAAATGATTCTATGATTCTATGATATTGTCAGTACAAGCCTTGGTAAAATGTCTCTCTTCATCTTTCTTATAACCCCCCTTTAAGTGTTGGAAGGCAACAACGTGATCTCCCCAGAGCCTTCTCTTCTTCAGGCTGAAAAACCCCGACTCTCTCACCCTTTCTTCACGGAAGTGTTCCAGCCCTCAGCCCATTTTCGTGGCTCTCCTCTGGACTCACTGCAACAGGTCCATTTCCATATTATGTTGGGGGCCACAGAGCTGGACACGGTACTCCAGGTGGTGTCTCGTGAGAGCTGAGTAGAGAGAGAGAATCACCTCCCTTGACCTGCTACCTACAGTTCTTTTGTTGCAGCCCAGGATACACTTGGCTTTCTGGGCTGCAAGCTCACATTGCCAGCTCATGTCCAGTTTTTCATCTACCAGTACCCCCAAAGTCCTCCACAGGGCTGCTCTCAATCCATTCCTCCCCCCATCTGTATTGATACTGGGGATTGCCCTGACCCAGGTACAGGACCTTGAACTTGACCTTGCTGAACTTTATAAGCAAGTATGTCTGCAGTTGGCTGCTTTGGGAGCAAGGATGCTTGACCTTGTGGACCTTTGGTCAGACTCAGTATAAGTGTTCTTAGTCCTTGACTCAACCAAGTATTGCTCATTGGCCTAATCGCCTTTTCCTCTATGCAGCTGGTGATTACCTCTTCTTTCAGTCCCTTTGTCGAGTATGTTCTACTTCCACACTGGTCTGAACTGTGCTTAAGATGCCACGGTACACTGTTCATCTGTCCTTTCTTCTCCATAGGCTTATGGCATTGTATGGAAAGCAATCGACCGCAGGACAGGAGAAATAGTTGCTGTTAAAAAGATTTTTGATGCTTTCAGGAACAGAACAGATGCTCAGGTGAGAAATCACTGTTCTAACATGTCCTGAAAGATGTGGTGGGAGTTCATAGATATTTTCAGGATTTACGTCTCTGAAAGATGTTAGTTATTTGACAATTATGCATGTAATAATACAGCTATATTGGGATAAAAAGGAGCAATAAATGTCAAGCTGTGTATATTATGGCATCTACAAAATACTGTTTGATGTCTCTGAGGAAAAAGTATCTTCATAGGCATGTACAGTTAGATTCTCCCTTATGTTGTTATGCTATAGTGTCTAAGCACAGAGAGCATACTTGTGACTCTCGTGAGCAACTGAGTTTTTCCTAGTCTGTCTACCATATAAGGGTTTCCTCTGCTTTAGATATTAGAATGGATTTAACCCTCTCATTCGAAGTCCATATTCTGTTCTGTCATTCTGTTGAGGTGATAATAAACTTTTTTTTGTTTGTTTATTTCTAGAGAACGTTTCGAGAGATTATGTTCCTGCAGGTAACGTCCATTTTTCCCTGTCCTCTCTGATTTTTAATTATCTCTGATGTTGTTCGCATATTTTCTTTCCATTCCTTTTCAAAATGCAATGATCAGTGTTGAAAACTCTATTAATTTCTTCTCTGTACCATGTTAGGCAAAAACACCTGAATGAAATTAATTGGTCTTAGTTTTTCTTTGAGACATGCCCTGTTCTTTCACCATTTTTAGCAGTATGTCTACTCTAGGATCACCATATTAACTTGCACTTTCACTTCTTTGTGGACAGAAAGAGGTTTTTATTAAAATTTAAATGCCACAATTCAGAGGTGGAGTTGGGATGTGGAAGAGATTTACATGCCAAAATATTTTTCCTCTGTCATGGGAAGCAACTTGACCATCTGAAATAATCAAAGCAAAACTAAAGGGAAATTCTGTATGGGATTACTTCAGGCTGCTCTTGTTCCGATATAATTGACCACACAGTATGCCTAATTACCTTATCAGTGGCAGCGGCATTAAAATTATATTCCTCCACAGACTTACCATGCAGAAACATAAATGTTTTTGAATACTGATAATGTTGTTATAACTATGATTTTCTAAGAACACAAGGCAGGGTTCATAGAAAGAGGTATTTTCTAAGACTATCAAGTTTAAGTAGGAAGAAGATGCATTTTTTTACTTTTTAATAATTTTTAAGCCTGCAATAGAAGCCACAAACTTAAGAGCTAAAACCGTAAGAGAACAGTTCCTTAGAAGTTAATTACTGTAAGTTAGATCATCTCTGAACGTATAGCACTTCTGGAGTAGATGTGTAGAGGAGTAGTTGGGAGAAGAAAACGAAGGATATTTTTCCTCAAGGAAAGAACGAGTCATTTGGGGGGAGGGAAGTTAATGTGCCATTAAGACCTTTAATGACTTTTGGTGCTCAAGAATCTTAAGAATTTTAGTTTCCCCCTCCTACTCGTGAAGGTATTTTATAGCTTTCTTGAGGTTCAAGACTGAGAGATCAAAAAATGGAATGATTTAAGAAATACTCTTTCATTGGTAACTGGATATTTGTCTTAATTTGCTTGTCTGTGCAGATTCTTTCCTGTGTATAATGATTGGTCAGTTTAATCTGTATATTTATCATAAGGGCATTTGATGGAATGGATTAAATTTACTGTAACTGAGAAGTGTTGATGTAGAATCTGGGCATTATGATGATTCTCTTCTGGGTAATACATAGTATGCTGGTCATTATGCTGGTTGCAGGTTTTGTGTTTATTGTTCAGTATAGTTGTAGATCTATTTGGTGCATTTCGGGCCACATTTTAGAATGTCATTTTTTGTAATTACTTTAGCGAAAGCATTGTTCTTTAAGCAAAGGTAAGTAAGACTGGCTCTGACAGGATTTTTTTTTTTTTTTAATGTAGGATTTTTTTTAGTATAGATTGAAACTTTTCCATAACTTTCCATTATTAGTTCCAAGGCAAGACAGTATGAGACAATGGGGTTTTCCTTCCATATGAAGTAAGTTCTTAAACTGCACTCAAGTAACACTGTCAAGGCTAATATGCATCTCTAGAAATATATCCTTTTTGGGTAAAAACTTTCTTTAGATTGTTTGGATGGGTATTCTAAATATTGTCATCAGAATAAATGCAAGGGTATTTGATGGCCTGGCTGAATATTGTAAGTGTATTTTCATGGGTTGCTGCAGGTGAATGTGGTGATTTGTGATTTTTTTCTAGATGTTGTGCAGTATAACCGATTTTTTCAAGGCCTCAGAGTCTAAGAAGATGATGCTGTTATAAGACCGTGCTGGAGAGAGCTTAGTATTATGATTTCTGATACTGTTTGTAACTGAATTTGTGATAGAAATAGATTAAGAGTCTCCATTATTGGTTCAAATAACAAAAAAAATTATGTATTTTACGTACAAATATAGGTTTTATGGTGCAACTATTTATAATTTTATACTCAGGGTAGTTCATGAAAATGCTGGCATATAGTAAAGTGTTCACAGTGTCTCTAGCTGCGCAGAAATGTTAGCTATAGGAAATAAAAGTTCTTAACACTGAAGATGAAGTAAGTGATTTTGACAGTATTGTCCATCTGCAAATGAGAGGTTAGAATTAACCTCTGGTATTTAGTTATCCTTTTTGTATGCTGACTGGCTGATCTCCCATTACAGTCAGTTCAATCATTGCAGCCTGTAGAGTGTTTTAGCCTATCCTCAAATAGACTCTTTCTGATTGGTTGGGTTTTTTAATTATGAATGTTGATGGCAACTTTATTCTACTTTCACTGCCACAATAATTCTTTGCATTCAGTAGGAAATATGAGATGCATAAAGTTGACTAGTTTTTATTCACAAATGGTATAGAGCAATTTTTAGAACTAATGTCTCAGAAGACAGATTTTTTTTTTTTTTTTTTTTAGATTAACTGTCTGGTTTCATACCGTAGAGCACAGTTAAATCCTTTTTAAAATTTATTTCCATAGAAGCATAATGAAGGAAATAGCATGTTAATGTTTGTTCTAGACAATAAAACAAACCAAAATAAGTTACTGTCCTTTTTTATGATTCACAAGCAAGACACTTGATTTTGACAGTTGGGTGTCTTCCCTCTGCAGGAATTTGGAGAACATCCAAATATCATCAAGCTGCTTGATGTTATCCGAGCTCAGAACGACAAGGATATCTACCTCATCTTTGAGTCCATGGGTGAGATCTAGCATTGCATCAGCTATTTAAATACAGCCTCTCCTATGAGTTACCTTTGTTCCCTAGTTTGATAGTAGTGTGTTGATGATTTACAAGAATATTACTGTAAGTAAACATAAGTAGAAGTGCTACAAGTTTTTTATATATATATCATTTGTGATTAGATGGGAATAGCAGTGAAAGTTTAAAAGGAGTAATAATTATATGAGAGCTGTCTGATTGAGATGCATGAAAGATGGCAGTGAGCAACAAATTGGAAGGCTTGTAGAGACAGAAGAGTTGCAAAGGGGAGAGACTACGTGCAATTTTTTTATAACAAAAGTATGCAGTAATAAAACAGTTACTGTAGCATGGACTGCAAGTCAAACTGATAATACAGAGGGATTGCAGTGCTATTAGTAATTAAGTGTTGACTTCTGTTGAGGATGTACCTGAAAGATTACAGTTTGGACAATGGTCTATTCTGGCCTTGTTTTGAGGAACTCATATTCACAATTTGGTAATCCTTACAGAGACAGATTTACATGCTGTGATTAAGAAGGGGAATTTGCTGAAAGATATCCACAAGTGTTACATTCTCTACCAACTCCTGAAGGCAACTAAATTCATCCACTCGGGAAATGTTATTCACAGAGATCAGAAGGTATATTTCAGTCATAGTACTTGTCCTTCACTCAAGTTTTCTGTTAAATACTAAATGGAAAACTATGAAAAGAATGAGATTAGTAAAAGAGCCTTGATAATAATCTTCTGCTATTCAGAGAGTAAAAAGCTTATTAATTTTCCTTTGTTCAATTCAGCCTTCAAATATCTTGCTGGATGCAGACTGCTTTGTTAAACTTTGTGATTTTGGGCTGGCCCGTTCTTTATGTCAGATGAATGAGGATCAAGGCAACCCTGCTCTAACGGAATATGTGGCAACACGCTGGTACCGAGCCCCTGAGATCTTACTTTCCTCTCAGAGGTAATGGCTTAATATGAGTGAAGGGATGGGATTCTATAATTTCTTCACCACTGGGGAATTTTTTTGTGTGAAAGTCTTAAGTATTTCCATTTTAGGTGTCACCAGATGCAATACCATGTCAGCAGTCAGTTTTCTCAATACGTATTTAAACTTCAGTTCTGTGATGTAAAAATCTCTCATTACACCTACATTTCTTTCCTGGCTTCTTAGATTATCCATTTATATACATTACCAGCTCATCTGTTTGTCATCCTTTCTTCCACTAGACTTATTCTTTCTCCCCTTAAATCTGCATCTTCACAAAACTTGGTTGGGTACTTAAGTCTTCTTTTCCAAATTTAAGGATTTTTTTTTGATAGACCTTCAGAAAATAATGTGTTATCAAATGTTAAATCAGCTGCCTGTTAGGCTTGATCCTTTTTTTGACTTAAATATACAAAATCTTAATCATAGAAAAGAAGATAAATACAGGTTGGGTTAGTATCTCAAATTTGAAATGTGGTTGTTTTTCAAACTGTCATTTACCCACTGTTGGTGTTTACTTTGCTTAAGTAATTGTAACTGCTTTCTAGATACATTCTGTCCTGAAAAGTCAGTTGTTTCCAAACAGCAACTTGTATCTTCACTGTTAGTCATATGAAAAGTATGTATTAACTTGTCCTGGCATTTACTGGGATTTAATGTATTTTCTTTTACAATTTCCTAGAACAGACTTTTAGTAGGATAAATCTCCTTTCTGTTTTATGCTTGCCAGTTTCATGATTCCCAAAACTTATTCATTTTGTAGTTAAAACCTGCGAGCATTCGTACTCGAGGAGTCATCAAGCTTGTTTTTGTAGCAAAATAAGCTAAAGTAGATGATGTGAATACCAGGTACAGAAAAATTTAGTTCTGGCTCTGTTCTGTTCTTATTTGTAGTTACACTAAAGGTGTAGACATGTGGAGCATTGGCTGTATTCTGGGAGAGCTGCTACTTGGGAAACCTCTTTTTCCCGGAACATCAACAGTAAATCAAATAGAGCAGATCTTGAGGGTCATTCCTGCCCCATCCCCAGAAGGTAGGACTCTTCTGCAGGCAAAGGTATTTAGAGAAGAGATTGAAAGAGTGAAAGAAAGCAGTCCAGCTGGATCAGGGAAGAAGGTATCTCTTGTGAGTCATTCTAACACCTTTCTGAGGAAATTAATAACTTAATTGTGAAATGTTAGTATTAGAGGAAAATAAGCCTGGACTTGATTAGATAAGAAACAAGAACCAGGCATTCAAAACACCTTTGAGACTTATAAGAGTATAACAGTTTAAAACGGAGTATCATACTTCAGCAGGACTTGCATAGTAAAGGGGTACTGGACTTTCTGGTCTGGAAATCTAAACACAGAAGTGAAAGCTGGAGTAAATATATGTTCAATCCAAAAGGGATGATGTTGATTATTATTATTATCTTCTATGAGTTCCAGTCTAGCAACCCATACACTTTATAAATTTTTACAACATGTTGATGTGTTCTGAGCTAGCAAATAGTTTTTAGAAAAATAACTACCTTCAGTTTAAGGACATCACAGTTTTGGAGATTTCCATTCAAGCTTAAAGTTATTTATAGCTTTTATAAGAGATTTGCTTGCTGTGGATGAAATAAGAATGGAAGTGTGTTTGAAAACACCAAAACAGGAGCTAGAAGAATAGCCAGCACTAATAACAAAAAATGCTATTCTGTTCTCAGCCATACAGTTGAGGAATGTGCAGGTAACGTCATAACCAGAAGGCCTGCACTCTTAAGACAAGACCATAGGATAAATGACTCCTTAGCAGAAGGTCCTGTATCCTTATCAAAGGACAATGGCTGCAAGGCTGCAGCATATCACAGGCACAATTTCTTTTAGTCAAACAAGTGAAAACAAATACTTGTTCAAAACATTATTGCCAACAAGGAAAAGCAACTTATGAGCGGCAACTTTGTCTAGGATTTATGGGGACCAAAGAAGCAAGATTCTGAAAAAAAAAAAAAAAATTCCCTAGAAACTGTTGACTCTGCGAGTATGACAGATATGTTTAGAAAGCAGTTCATCATCACCAATCAAAAAGAACTCCAGCAGATATGATGAAGAATTCAATAGCTGGTATCCCCTGTTCTGTGTGTCCCACACAAGTGATCCTGGCCAGGTCATTTGGCCTCAGATATCTTGGTGCTTCTGTGTATGTCAGTATAAGACTGCAAGTTTATGCAATCTATGATAGAATGAATAGGAATTGAGAAAATCAGCTTAGAAAATTTGTAAGTAAATATTCCATCCCCCTTCCATAAGATCTCCCATTAAGTTTTATTAGGATAATTTCCTATGTGAATATCAAATATTTGCTTTCCCTCATAAACTGTGTAGCTCTGGTAATCCTAATCTTGGCATGAATAGTATCTTTTCATTATTGCAGATATTTTGGCTATGCAGTCAGATTATAAGGCCTCGGTTATTAACCGCATGATTTCCCGGTAAGCCTTGTTTGTTTGACGTGTCTCAGAAGTCAACAATCTACTGTATGATGTTGATAAAATGTTCCCCTGACGTTCATCTTCCCGTGTTCACTAGTGGAAATGATTTCTGCTCTCTGCAGATTCACCTGCCTCTAGGGAAAGGGTGTAAAGTTTAAAAAAAAAAAAAAAAAAAAAAAAAAGACATAATCTGGGAATAACAAAACAAAATGAGGCTGGGCCTACAGTCCAAGACATTGTCATGTATACTTTCTCAAAATTAGAATATTTTCCTATACGGAGTCATTTGGGTATCTGATGTCATTGGTTCGCACATAGAAAGTGTGAATCTATTCAGACTGTCAGTCTCATTCCAGCTGCTTAACGACTCGCTGTGATTTTTTTCATTTAATTTTTTTTTTATTTTCTTATATCTGTCATGGTTCTTTTGGATCCTTCCGTTCTATACACAGACTACCACAAAATTCTGCATTTATGACATACTTAATTGGTAAACATTAGTAAACTTAACATTCTTACACTATCTTATGGCCATAGCAAATTACCAGTCTCTAAGTATTCCCTGCTCATACCTGTAGAGTCTTCAAAACTGAAAAGATTTTTTTCTGGGCCACTCAGTCCAAATGCTATGTTCAGTGATGGATCATTTTTCTAAGCTAAAAGAATGTTGTCATGGAGTAAGAGAATTATTTAAAATATGAGCAAGAATCACATTTTTAAAATTATTTTTCAAATATATTAGATATTCTCGTGTTCATTCTGTTAATAATTATCTTTAGGATTTCAAAATGCAAAACAAGACTTTTAAACTTCATCTTCTCACAGAAATATATTTCCGTGGTCTAAGGGCTGGATTCATGGGATCTTTAACAGTTCTACTGAAACGTCCAAGTTATGAGGTTAGGATTCCTGCGTTGTGAAAAGAAGGACTTCTTGTCATCCAGAGGACTCATTATTTCCCTGTGTCTGATACTGTCTGATATTTCTCAGTCTTTCCACTGAAACAAGAGAAAGACTAGACTTGCAATTTAGGCACTTCATGTAGGTTCCTAGTGCTAGGAGGGAGGCATTCAAACCTAATCTAAGGGGTAAGATACTTTACCATACTCACAGGCCTATAGTGTTCCAGGATTATGACACACCATTTGTGAGTGAACTCTGGAGTCAGGTGTCACCTTCATGTGATTCCCAGAACTGTATGTCATGCCTTCACTGGGAATTAGACATTGGGAGCTTGTATTATTGTTTTCTGACTTCTAGGCAGCGAGTAACATTTGAGGAGATTTTACCATCCTCTACTCCATTGCCTGCCTTGGATCTTCTGAAGAAACTTTTAGTATTTAACCCTGATAAACGACTCACAGCAGAAGAGGCTCTGCATCATCCTTACGTGAAAAGGTGAGAGTAATACCCATGTGCAGTTTCCCCTGATGACTTCTGAGGTGTTATAGACCTGCTCTTGGCACAAGTTTTCTTTATATGCATGACAGAAAAACATAGTCAAAGCTAATTCTTAGTTTTCTCTAATTCTATTTACACTAGAGGTCATACTAGATGATTTAACAATCCTTTTTAACATTATATTAATCTGTGGTGCTGTTTTTAGTCTTAGTGAATTATACTATCTGTTATCTTCTTAGGTTTCACTGTCCTGCCAGGGAGCCCTCTCTGGATTATGATGTGATTCTTCCTTTAGGTGATGATATCCAGCTGTCTGTGGCAGAATATCGAAATAAATTATATGAGGTACTTTCTCTTACCCTATTTTCCAAAATCCAAATCCTCCAGGTAACTTGCCATTCCTTCACACGCTTAATGAATTGTGTCGTTTTCTTCTATTTGCATTCCCCAACGCTTTCTATACATGCTTAGAGTTACATGTTGGTGTTTCTTATCAGTCAGATCCATACTGTCATAATTTTTGAGAGGTCTTTAAATCTAAATTCCTACTGGGAAAAGAAAAGTCTATAAAGCATGATGTCTGAGAAAGAGTGTGTTAGAGGAAAATACATTATGCTGGATCCAACAGTCCCAAGAGAGGCGAGGCTGCTGACATTCTATGTCGCTGGGTCCAGCCAGTAGCAAGGCTGAAGATGTATTCTCAGTAGGAACATACACACAGAAAACACATACACACTACATATATACATGGCTGGCCACATGGATCACAAACCTGCACTCGGAGCACTCACACAAACATCACAGACAGCACCAACAGCCTCATCCTGTTCCCTTCTCTGGCTGAGCAAGTCAGAAGTCACAAGAATATATATACCTACATAGAGGGTGGATCCCTGCAGCAGCTGGTCTCAGACACTCAGTCTGCTAGTAGCCTGCCCATGGATCTCCTCAGTTGCTGGCACTTAGATATACAGTCTTCCAAGGCTGCAGCCCTACTCCAATTGCTGGTATAGATCATGCAGATAACCAGCTGGTCAGGTCATTTCTGGTCCCTTATCCAGCTTCCACTCACCCTGCTGCCAGTGTCCTCAACCCTAGAGATACACAGGTGCTCTCACACCCAGAACTGGCCCTTAGAGACCCACTCATGCCCTTGTTCCCAGGTCACTTGATCTATTCACCAGCTAGCCTGACTTGGTCTTTGCTAGCGATCACATGCTCACTAGCACACCTGCACTCTCTTTAGTTGCTGGCACCATGGACGCGTGGGCCCTCCGACCTGTCATCTGACTCTAGTTGCTGGCACACACACCTGCATACACACGCACAGGGACAGAATAGGTAGCCTCTCTTCCCAGAAAGAGAAAGGAATTTAATAAGATAGAGCAAGGTGCAGTGATCAGGTGCAGGGCATGGCCAGACAAGCTTATTGGCCAGCCAACTATTTACACACAACTGGCCATTTTTATATCTCTTACTCCCTATTTCCCACACTCATTCCTCCCCAAATCACCTAACCCCCTGTTTTTTCCTGCTTTGATTCCTAGCCTAAACATGCCATAATAAATCCTATGTAATCCCAGATGTCTTTCCCCTGCATCCCATAATGTGTCCAAACCTTAGGCAGCAACCTCCACCCTCTCACCCAGCCATCCTCTGCCACCCTTAGTCCAAAAGGTGACCCAGAGAAGTCCTGATGACTCATTGTGATGAGTTTCATGCCTGGACAATGGGGCTGATGGCTTTGCTGGGACAGCCCTGGCAGGGGCCTGGACAAGGTCTTAAGAAGCCACTGATTTGGGTTCCTTCATTTGGCACCTGCCATAGTGCATCCCTGTGCTCCTCAGCCTCTGCAGAGGGGTCTTTGATGAGCCGGTGGCTTCTGTGAATGGGCCAGGGAGTAGCTCATAGAGTATTATTTGGGCTCCCCATCCTGCCATTGGCTTTCTGATCTACACTGTGGGTGTGCAGACAAGCTGTTATCACATAACCTAACACACTGAGGTTTTTTGCTGGAGCATAGTCAGGTGCCATTGCTTGCTGTACCACATTCACAAAACCATCAGATTTCAGAATAATTATTTAACAGAGGAGGAAGAGAAAGTGAAGGATCAGTGAAGCTTATGTGCTAAAAATAAAAGATATGCTGATAATTAAGTGATGTTTCAGGAGCCATATTTTGAATGCATTAACGTGGGGAAATAGTAGTACTTTAAAAATCAGGAAATGGTTCAATAGTCAAGCAAATAAATTAAAATAAAGGCTGATGCAAAAGCTTTAGTTGTACAAAGAAAGGTTGATGCCATGTGGTATATGCACTAAGATCAAAAGGAAAGTAAAAAGCTGCACTTCTCTTGTACACAGTGGGATCGAGTGCACCCTCAGCAAATTTGCAGTAGGGGGAGGGTAGCCGGAGTAAATGCTCTAACAATGAAATATGAAGGGCAGCAAAAGTGGAATTAAATCAAACCTTCAGGAAGAGAAATTAGTTTTGGCTTAGGTTTTTCTTTGGTTTTGTTTTTGGTTTTTTTTTTCTTTCCCTTCTTACAGTGAAAGAAGTTATGTAAATGCCATGTTATGAGGCAAAGTAACTGGAAGATGTTAAGAAGAGCAGGAGTTGGAATGTAAATGTAGTAAAACAGGCATTGGAAAGAATAATAGTGGGAAGAGAAGACTGAAAAGGAAGCTCAGAGATTAGAAAATCCAAAGCTGAGAAAGACTGATAAGGGTGGCAACCTTTCCAGAGAGAGAGGCAAAGAGTTACTGTTTCTATTTAACACAATTAAAATTGAAGAAAGAAAAAACACAGTTGAATTTTTAAAGTTGAACCTCCTTAAAATTTCTTTTAAGGTCTTTAATAGAAGGAAACTAATAAATTCTACTGTGATAGAGTGTTGGGAGTCATGAGCAGATGAATTAGTAAAGTAAATATTGAGCACAGGTTGAAAAGATTATAAATTTCAATAGATTGCTCACAGATAATCTAGGTATCAGGCTAAGAAACAATTGAATAGTTTTGAATAATCTTACTGATGGGGTGTCAAATTTGAGACAACTGTGATTAGAGGAAGCTGAGAGCAGATTGTCTGCACCAAGACCCAAAACCTTGGGCAAGGATTCTGTTGCTAGATAATAGTGCGTAGTTAGGTGAGAAATAATTATGAACTAACTGGAATGAATGCTGCTTTGACCATTAAAAAAACAGCTTTGCAAACTTCTAGAAAGGGATGGTAAGAAACAACATAGTGTTAACCTTTTGGGCATATAGATTCTGTCTTTTCTAAGACTAATGCCCACTTTATTTAGTGGTGTTCTCCCTCAGGATACATTGAAATTGCCTGTGCACCCAATCCTTTTTCTTAACAGCCTATTCTTTCTACTCAGAATATTATTTCTATCTTATTTCCAGTCCTAAAATTAATATTTTAAAATTATATCTCTTACCTAAACTGTGAAATAAATGTCAGTTATTTGTAAGTCTTTCCCTTTATTTCTGTTTTGTTCCTCTGCTCTGCTGTGTAGCTGTGTTAAGTCTAACCAACTTCTCCTCTCAGATGATCCTTGAAAAGAAATTAAATAGTCATCCAAAGGAGCAAGTGCGAGGAGAAAACGTTCAGCCATGTCTGCCTGAATCTAGGCCACTTCTTCCAGATTCCAGTTCTGTGACTTCACCTAGCAGGAAAGGCCAGAGAGAACCTGCACCTTCTCTTCCAAAAACTTCACGTGTGCATGCTACAACTACAACTAGTGTCCAGCCAGAAGTATCCAGCCAGACTGAAGATTTAGCAAGAACTTTATGTCAGAGATCAAAGATCAATGTGATATACAATCCTATAACACACACTGCTGTTCAAAGTAGGTACTACCCTCCTACAGTGGGATATAATCTATCATGAGGCATTATTATGGGGAAGAAAGAAAAAAAGAGATTGCGTAGGGAAAAAGAAGTAAGGGGAATTTACATGGCAAAATGAGAGGGTGAAAGTGTGGGAGGGAAGTGAGACAAGAACAAAATGCTGTTTGAGTTTTGAGTGTATGACATTCTCTTTGCTTCTTTCCTGCCTCAGTCTTGACTCTATGTTCCTTTCTGTTTTCTCTTTGCTTCTCCACTGCTGTTGTCTTTTCCAATGCCCTTTTGAACTGGTTTTGGTTTTGCTATTGCATTCTAATTTTATTCTGAATATTTTTGTTCTCTTTGTGAGATGAAGCGAGGTGGCAGGGACTGACTCAGTTTTTACGTTCTGTCCCTGCCTCAGTCAGTATGTTTTGTGTCCTCGTGATTTTCCTGCAGGTAATGCAAATTCTGATGCTGTGATCAAGAACTGTTCTGCACCACCTTCTCAACAGGCCAGACTCTCCAACAATAGGAAACTGGGAAGACAATTCACATGGGCAAATGCAAATGCTCAGTTACCTCCTACAAGTGTACAGAACCTTTATAATGTGAGTAGCACTCATACAAAAAAACCCAACAACTTAACTTTTCAGGGACCAAAATGATATAGACACAGAATATAAGAATATCTTAATCTGCAACTTTGTAAAGATACTTAAATGAGAGGCAAGACATATTGCTCTGAGTGACTAAATAATACATTTTTGTCAGTTAAAATTACTGATGACAAAGATATACACAAATTTCATTGCTTGTATGTAATGTCAGCCAAATGGTACCAGTAACCTAATTTGATAATGCAGGCAGGTTTGATTAGAGTATGTTCCCTTTACTAGAATGCTGAAGAGCGTGCTAACTGAAGAGTTTCTGCTAGCAGTGGAAATAACTAGACACACCTTGTCTCTAATATGGGGTAGATCCATATAGGAACTTGCAGATTGAAGTCTCCAGTGTTGCAATACCTACATTTCAGGTGTTTTGTTTACTACCGAGGTTTATGACCCTGAGTTAAGTTCTGTGCGTGAGGCAGAGTGTTGAGAAGAAGACCATTTATAGATCTATATATAGACTATCACCAGGAAATGCTAGGGGCATTGATGTGGCTTAAACCTTACATCTCTGGCATATGTAGTGCTGATCTTCAGCTAGTCTGGGTTTATAAACATTGAATTTCTCCTGGAGTTGTAAGTCTAACTCCAGTCTTTCAAAAAATCGTATCACCTGTGACTTGAGCAGCAAGAGTATTTTGGTGCCTATAGGGTTATGCAGGAGTTCTGTGAACAACTGTTGAATTTAAGTGTGGGAATTAGGTACTTCAGGAAACATGAAGTAACGCAGCCCTTTTGTAAGTCTTGGTCTCTGCTTCATTAGCAGTATTTTCTTCACAAAGATTAATTGTAAAGGATCATATATCACCTGATTGTAATCAAAAAGAAAAGTAAAAATATCTCTGCAGATTCTCTGCCTCTATTTCTTTTTCCCACCTTGAGTTTGTAATGCAATGTCTTTTGAGATATGCTGAGATGTATGACTTTTTTTCCACTGCCACACTGGACAAGTTAACTTTGGACTCCATTCTGCTTTCAGTTTTATCACTTCAGACAAGTGAGGATTTGAAAACCATTTCAGATTATCTCATTGTTCAGATTGTGAGCAGCACCAAAAACTCCCTTTGACTGAGAATCACAGAACAGTTGCTTTTGTATTATCTTCAATGATGGCTTGTCCTGTCCAAAGTCTGTAGGTAGTAAATTATTTTTTTAACCAAATTGAGACTGCTGGATATTCCAAACCTAGCTGGAGAATTCACACTACCTCTGGAATCAGCCTAATGGATTGCTGTTGCTGAACAGTGGAGGTCTCGGTCCTGTACCCCCTATTCCTCCCTGTTCTTGGCCATACATCCTTGTAAAACTTCTTCTCCTCATTGGGCTCTTAAATGACCTCCTTGCCTCTCCTTTTTCTTTTTCCTGAGCTAGTTTTCTGCTGACTAGCTCAAGGAGAGTGTAGCCAACACAAGGTGATCAGAGGAAGCTTATGGCAGAGGAAGAATATGGAAGGAGGCACCACAGATTGCCTTTTTTGCGACACTAAAGATTGACTTGTCATGGGACTTTCTCACATTCCCACAAAAGAACACTTAAATATCTATGTGCTGGAGATCCAAACCATTCAGAATGTATGCTGAGGACAGTTGTGTGAAGGGACTTCTGACAGACACCATTACCAAAGATGAGTTGGGTGGGATCACTGGCTTTGTGTCAGCGTGCGATATCACATTTACCTTAAAGTAAATTATTTCTTTGAAAACAGCTCTGAATGATCTGAATCATTTCAAGCTAGAAACAACCTGCATACACTGTTAAGAGTCAAGCTTGTTCCTACTGGATCTCTTCCTACTGTTGTGTTCGATATGAAAATACATATGAATAACAATTGCTAGGAGGAGGCATGATTGCCAGTAACTTCCAGATATGTCTACATGCACACTTGCCACCCATCTTTCAGGCCCTCTGCTTTGGAATCCCATTCGAAATGTTTTGAGAGTGAGAGGAGCCATTTATTCCACGAAAAGAGATTGTGGCAATTGCTGCATGTGCAAACGTACATATGAACAATGCATTTTGAAGACTCTTTAGGTAACCGTGACCAACTTTCTGTTACTGGAAGAGCAAAATAGGGAGAAGATCGCCCTACACATGCTCTGTGATTTATATTTGTTCCCTGAGAGGCTAATACTGACTAGTGTCAGAGGCAGGATAAAAGGTCATCAGCATTGTGACTGATCTTATGTTAAGCGGATGTTGACTCTTCCTTTTTTCTCATTCAGCCTCAGCAGGAGCTGAAAAGTTCTAACTTTCCAGTTTGCTCTGCATTCAGTCTGCATTCATTTTCAATATCCTATTGGGATCGTGAAACTCTTGTTCTCAGCCATTATAATGCCTGGGGTGACAGTAACCAGTGCCACAATAGTGAATGGAAACTCTTGCCTTTCAGTTAACTGTAGAGGTTCACAAAGCATAAGCTGCAGTGAAACAGCCCTTCTCTTGAACTGCAGATTCAAATGTATTGTAATGTATTATGTGTTGTAATGTATTAATGTATTATTAACTTTTCCCCACAGGGGTTCATAAACACGGTACCCGCATGCAGCTTCTAACTCAGAAAGTCTCCAAGCCATTTGATTGGCAGAAGCCAGGAGGATATACTGGGGGATAATGATCTTGATGATGATATCTTTAGTACATATATTTAAAGCATTCACTACTGTTGAAAACAAGATACTAGCCAAATAGGCCTTTGGACTTTTGCTCCAGTGCTGTATTAATTTGTTGTATCCTGCTCCAGTGCCATTAGCTCATTCTTGATACACCCATTCTTAAGCCCTTCACCCTCACATCATTCTCACCATCCTATTCTTGATTTTACAAAACAGTCTGTTTGGGTTTTTGTTCATATAACACTCATGATCTCTTCTACTCCTCAGCTGAAGCAAAATCTGCAGTCCTTATTTGTATTTTAGAAAGCTGATTACAGGTTACTAAATATCCTGGCTTTTCTTTTTCACACAGAATCCAAGAAATACTCAGTTTCACAGCAAAGATGTACATCCCCTTCTAAAGTCCAGTAAAAAGATGTTCCAGATTACTAGAAATATGGGAGCTGCTGGTGATCCGAAAGCATCAATGGGCAGTTACTCCCAGGCCTATGGAACCATATGTAAATCTGCACTGCAGAGTCTTCCAATATCAAAGTCCTCCCAACAACATGAGCAGTGAATATGGAAGTGTTCTAACCAGGTGAAGTACAGCTCAACTCATCAGTCCTCGTAATTTAGCCAGTTAGAGCAAGTGAGAGCAAAATGTAACAGGCATTTGATGGTTACCCCAGCTGAAGGGAAATGTTTTATTCATTGCATGAAACAATGCACTACTTTCCTTTGGACAAACCAACAGGAAAGATAATCTAATCCCCTTTGCCTTCCAGTTTTACCAGACAAGATCACAGCACTACGTGCACCCATACTGTGAGAACAATGAATACTGTCCACATTTCTCACTTGAAATATTGCAAAAAGTTACAGAAGACGGCAGTATTTTCATATTTTAATGTATTTAGACATATTCAGACTATTCGGGGCCCATATGAACCTCATGAAGTTCGACAAGGCCAAGAGCAAGGTCCTGCACAGGGGTGGGGGCAATCCTCAGTATCAGTGCAGGCTGGGTGATGAGTGGCTGGAGAGCAGCCTTGTGGAGAAGAACTTGGGGGTCCTGGTGGATGAGAAATTGGACATGAGCCAGCAATGTGTGCTCACAGCCCAGAAAGCCAACCGTGTCCTGGGCTGCATCAAGAGAAGCGAAGCCAGGAGGTTGAGGGAGGTGATTCTCCCCCTCTGATCTCATGAGACCCTACCTGCAGTACTGTGTCTAGCTCTGGGGCCCCCAGTACAAAAAAGACATGGAGCTGTTGGAGTGGGTCCAGAGGAGGGCCATGAAAATGGTCAGAGGGCTGGAATACCTCTCTTAGGAAGAAAGGCTGAGAGGGTTGGGGTTGTTCAGCCTGGAGAAGAGAAGGTTCTGGGGACACCTTACTGTGGCTTTTCAATACTTAAAGGGTGCTTTTAAGAAAGACAGAGAGATACTTTTTACCAAGTGACAGAACAAGAGGCAATGGTTTTAAACTGAAAGAGAGTAGGTTTAGATTGGACATAAGGAAGAAATTTTTTATGATGAGGGTGGTCCCTTCCAACCTATTCTATGATTCTTCAGCAGTTTCAGATGCACTGCCTAAATGCAGATTTTTGATTCAGCAGAACAGGTAGCTAACTGTTCTCTGAAGACCAGGAAGACTAGACTCTTCACAGATAATCTTAAAGCCCTTCATTTTGTTTTCTACTAATTTCTATGACTATTGTGGGGTAAATGAACATTATCAGTGTTGGCTTATTTTCATTAAAATCAAGTAGAAAAGCATTTTAAATATAGGTGGGTTATGCTACAATATATAATAGCTTACCTACCATGTAATATTGTAATATTGTAAATACTGTAATAATACATATATTGCACTACAGAAAATCTTTGTCTTTCAATGAATGTTTGCTTCGTGTGAAAGGGAAAAAATATAGGGGTATCTTGTTCAACAAATAATGTGGTAATTTATTTTTTGCTTTCAGAAAGCAATGTTCCAAGAGATACTATTGCTGAAACATCATGAAGTTGTTATCAGGCAACAGTGGCACTATAGTAAACTTTAAAACTATATTCCTGTTTTAATGCTGATTTTTTGTGATATATTTTCCTCATTTACTTGAAGTTCTTACAAGAAGTCTTTGTCCCTGAAATTTTTCTTCACTTATGATAAATGATTGTTATTCCAGAACTCTGAGACTACAGTTACAGAGGGGATTCGGGCACTAGATTCCAACAGTGAGTACCACTGCCACGGATAGAGTATCCATTTTATCTTTTAGTACCTAAACACCAAAGGCTAGTTAAGTAAAAAAAATAGTACATTCACTTCTGGTACCAAGTTTGGTCACTTCAGTCTGGTAATAATACTAGGGAGCTGGGAATGCAGCTCACAGGGGAGTCTGGGTTTATTCTGCTATATTCACAAAATACGCATTTGTTGTCTGTTTTGGGTACAGGTAAATACAGACAATGGCAATGACACAGTGAGCATGTTGTGTAGGCAGTGCTCTACATAGCATGTTGGCTCGTGTGTCTTAAGATGCCAGTTCTCATGCACAGAAAAGGGAGCCTACTGCTTAATTCAGGATTGTGACTTCCACTGAAAGCCTAGCACCTAGGAATTTGACAATACAATGTGACATCTAAGATCCTCTGTGAACCTAGTCTCAGACTGAGAGGTGCTGGGCTATAACACTTTCTATTCTTAAACTGGCTTTTGTTATTACTAAGTGACTTAGTTATTCTGCAATATTTGTATATACCTATAACATCTGGTAATCACCAAATCACTAAAAGACATGAGTCATTCTAGTTCTCATCACGAACGTACTTTTACACTGAACGCACCATACTGAGCAAGATAAAATTCTAAAAATCTAAACAAATACAGCAAAATTCCAAAATGTTAATGTAATCTGTGACTATAGAAATAATTATATTTCTAACTTGTCTGTTACGTAATGATGCTGGAGCAGGTAGGTTTGTGAAAGGCTTGGGAGGTATGGAATGATTGGAGTAAGAATTACACAAAATAGGGCTACCATATATATAACAGACTATATAGTCTATCTTCCTCCCTAGGGTAGAATAATGTCAACCTGTATCATATGGCAGAGAACAACTGTATTGATCATTACAGTTCATTTTCGGGCCCACCAATAACTGGATTTGATTCATTACTAAGAGCAGACAAAATAAGTATACATTCAGCATTCATTTATGCATTTGTATGTCTGCAACAGATTATGGGTTAAATCTGAAATGGTATACATTTATACAATATGGAGTAACCATAAGAAATCCATTGCTTTTTTTTTTTTTTTTCTAATTTTGGTTGCTGCTTCTTTCTTTTTTCTTTCTTTCCTTTCTTAACTTTATTTCTAGGTTTACCTCCTTATGTTAAAATAATTCCTCTTGATTCTTGCAGATTTTTACCACCATCTGTATTAATATGGAAACAGCTTAAATTTTTTTTCAGATCAGACAGTCTGTCTTTCCACACATTCATTTCCCAAGGTTTTCAACAAATAGTAAAATAATCATTAATTGTTACAGATATGTAAATAATATAAAGCCTGATAACTTATATAATGCCTGCTGCCATGGGAGCTGGCATCCTAAAAAAAGGCTAAAGTTTTAAAGACTCTACTAAAGTTACCTTAAGGAACTGATGCAGCCTCTTGTCTCCATCTGTCAGCCACGTACCTGAACTCGTTTGCTAAGCTTGCGGCTGGTGTCACAAAGTGGGTAATCATGAAACCCAAGCTAATGGAAACGGGAAATTCAGAAGCCTAGTTCCATGTGAGAGCATTTTTCCCTGTCATCTCTTTAGGCTATGGCACTAAGATCAGGAAAATAAAAAAACCCACACCAATTTAGCAATCCTGCTAGATGCCAAGCAGAGACAGTCCAAGATGAGGGAAGAAAACCTAAGAGCTAAGTGACTAAACACTATGTACAGCATTTTCACGATAGCCTCTCTGTCTACCCTCTGTCCTGCAAGACACTAAAACACAACAGTGTGCACCTACAGGCTAATCTGGACTGTTTTAAAGCTGCATGGTTAAGCTTGATACCAAACTACTACAGGAAAGTTACATGAGATAAACCACCTCTGAGCTTGAAAATTCCAGCAGCCTTATTCCTTCCATTGTTAGGAATCCCTTCCTTCCTTGTCTTCACATGGATGTGCCAACAAATGAATGTCCCCCTCCTCCCCCCAGTCACTCTGGATTGGGAGTTACATTGTCAAGGAAGTTACTACTTTGCCAAGACAACATTTTAGATGCTTAATTAAACTCCCAACTCAGATGAACAGCAGGCCTAAACCCAGGTCTTTCTCCATTAATAGCATGTCAATGTCCTTTTTATGGCCTTTCAGCTGCTGCTTTCAGCTCACCCCTAAACCAATACTTCCATTCTACATAAGGAATCAAGCCAATAATAAAACAGAACAAATAGGCTTAGAAAATGGTAAATATGAAAGCTGAGCATGTACCGCTAGACAAGACCATAACCACAGATACAGGCAAAAAAGTTATTTACAATACTTTTTCTCCTGTAAACCTTCAAAAAGGTGCCACCCACATTTGATTTGTTATTAAATACAAAGAAAAGATAACTGTACCTGATAAACATTTGGTTTTTAAACACTTTTTCCAGATAATTCGCATGTGCGCGTGTGTCTGTGTGTATTTTTCTTGCCTGGACTGAAGTCAAGTATTGAATTTTCTGTTTTTTATTCTTCCTTCTGAAAGTGAATTGTTTTGTCTGCTGAAAATGTTCCCTGAGCATAACATAACTAGACTCTTACTTTATTTCTTTGGTTTAAGTATCTTGGCAATTTAATAATTTTATTTGAAACATACTGTGATAAGGTTGCCTGATACCACATGATTTTATTGGGCAAATTGTGCCACAGGAGTCTAATGCTGAACACACTTCCACTCACTAACCATGAAGAGTATTGCTTATGGTGTTTATAGCCATCATAAACAAGTTACTTCCTCATTCCCCTTCGACAGTCAGTGATTATATGGAATTAAATAGTATTTCTGTGATCATTTTTTGGTCTTGAAGGTTCCCAGGATTTTGGGCATAAATTTTCCCATCTTCTTGTCTTTGGCATCTGTGTCATATTCCTCTTCACTTTGACTTGTATGTTCATCCTTTTTGCAGAAGACCTCAAATCTACTGTAGACTCGCTTCTCCTTCCGCATATTCTCCATTTTTTTCAGAAGGGTATCTCTATCCTCTGATGGTTGCCGCTGAAGATTTCGTTTCTGGCTCCCAAAACTCTCTGACCTGTGGATGTTACAGCTTTTCTCCTTCTCACTTTTCCTTTCCAAGCTTGTAGTTGACTTAGAAAGATCAGGATTACTAGTGGATGGTAGTTGCTTGGCCAGTTCAGCTCTGTTCTTCTGACTGTTTGCAGAGATTTGTTCCAAAATCACCTTGGTATCATCACGAAGGTTGCTGCTGTACAGGATGTTAGCGGTGGATGAAGGAAATCTCCCCTGTGTTGGCTGGCTGACTTTGGGAGTAAATGGTGTTGCAAATTTATGCATTTTATCTTCTTCCATCATTTCCTGACAGTCCCCTATGGAAGATCGTTTGAGAACCACAGCCTGCTTGTCAGATTTTCCACACTCAGAATTGGGTTCCTCCTCCAATTTCTTTTCACCTTTTGGAGTCAAAAGCTGCTTCAGCCGTAGTGACCCTTTTCTTAAAAATTCCATTGGATTTTGTTCTTGTTTTGAACAGTCTTCCTCAGATTTATTGAGAGAGCTGTCAGATCCTTGACTTCTAGATAAGTTTTCAAGAACTGATGTGGTATTTGTCCTAATCTGTGGTTTCTTCAGTTCTGTATTGACTAATTTTTGAGTGTCTTCTTTGAATGTCACTCTTTCCTTCTTCTCTGGAAGAGTCAACTTCTGAGTGTCCCCTACAAATATAAGACTCTCCTTCTCTGGAAGAGCAGGTTTATTCTCTATGGGGTAAAACCGAGATGATAATTTGTCCACCTTAGTGCTAATATGTGCTAGGGGATCTTTATTCAACGTGTCAACAAGCTGAGGGGTCGATGAGGCAATTCCAAATGGTCTGTCAGCCTCTCCATGCATTTTGTAAGTACTGCAGGACTCTTTGGAATCTAATACCCTACTCTCCAGAATCTTATATTGCACAGATTTGGTACATTTCTTCTCTGTGTTTTGTGATTCTTCCTGTAGATAACTGGAAACAGCTTTGGTATGAGTGATTGTAGCTCTCTCTGTATCTTTGCCCACAGCTTTGTACTTCTCTAAAAGTTCTGCCACTTTAGATGAAGCAGCTGTCTTTACAGTTTCACTGTCCTTTGTCAACTCACTGGACATTTGTTCTTTTTGGATCATCTGAACCTTTTCTATTGTGGTGTTAGGCTGATCTAATTTGGCAGCACTGAAAATTAGAGAGGATCTAAGCCTTGAGCTCCTCTGGATCAAAGGATTTATTCTGGACCTAAAGGCATCTTGTTTCATTATAGGAGTTTCTTCACCTACTCTATCAGGATCTGCAAATTCTTTGGCACTTTCAATTCCCAGTGACTTGCTATTAAAAGATAGAGGGGATTTGAATGCTGGGATGAGGTCAGTGGGGTGCTTTGTGAGGGTATCCCCAAGAACATCATTATATGCCTCTGATTCCATAGGCATTGGAAGACCTTCCTCTGGTTCGGACTGGTAGGCACTAAGGTATGAAGAAATCCTCCAGTTACGTAAACCTGTTCTATTTTCCTGTGTGTTCTTGTCTTCGTCTTGGTCCTCATCTTTGTCTTGTAAGAACAAGCGTTGTTCCAGGCTTTGTTTCTGTGTAGGAGAAGTCTGGCAAATAAATTTCTGTCCTATATTCTGCCTTCTTAACATCATTCCCATTGGGCCATTGCCTGCAGGATTCAGCTGATCAGAACCATGTCTCACTTCCCTGGAAGAATTTGAAGGTACGTAATCCAGCCTTAAGGGGAAAGTCTCCTGGGGAAAATTGGATTCAAGTTCAGGGTATCTGGGTCCCTCTCCATAGTCTTCCAGTTCATTGAATCCTGGCCTACCACCTCGGATTCTCTCAAAGAGTCCCTGAGGTCTGCCAGGAAGATGGGGATGTTCAAACTGGTACTGGTAGAACTGATCCTTCTGAAAATGACTAGACTGGATTTTAAATTCATCCATATTGTTCATGAACATCTGTCTGGCATACTGTTTAGAAGAAGCAAAATTTTCAAATGTTCCTTCTGCAAAACTGTGTCTCTTGAAAGCATCCAACTCCAATTGCTTGGAACGAAGAAAACCCCTGACAGGATCCATCTGAGAATTCTCCATTTCTACCTTTTTATACATTCGCATGGCCGACCCCTCCACAGTATGGCGCAACATGTCATCCCGCCTGAAATTTGACAGGAAATACCTGTCTGGGTCGACTCTGTCCATAAAGGAGGGAAAAAGATTGTCATCCCTCTGGAACATCAGGGGTGACTTTTTTGGAAAGAAAGGCATGTTATTGCCAAAGGGAGTCATGGCAAATGTGTTCTCTGCCTTTGCCAAGACATTGGCTGGAGGAACAAGAGGTTCTGACTGTGCAAACAAAATTCGAAATTCTTCGTCAAAACTGGCCACCAATTCCCCCTGGAAGATGTGTGCAATACTTCTGTGAATCTTCTCAAAAGACCACATAAAACTACAAAGAGAAATAGAAGTAATGGTAGTGTATTAGCATCAAGTAACTCGACAGTATCAGTTTCTATTAAACCATTTGCTTGCATGAAGAAAATTCTCCCGATATTATTTACTGCCCAGCCAGCCATTCATTACACACTATTGTTCCCAAGCCTCACAGTTATGAATTGATTTGGCATCATATCTTTGCAGAGGATTTTACAAGGCAATAAATGACTTCTGTTCTAAAAAAGTCAGTAGTAACAACAGCAAGAGAGTGAGCCGATGATAATCCTTATAGGAAGTAGATGTTCCTGCAATTACTTTGGGTTGTAATTGTTTTTTATAACTAAAAAGTTGTGCCTATCTTTAACAAAACACAAAAGGATCAACTAGGGAACTACAGCGAGTCAGCCTTACCTCAGTCCGAGGGAAAATTGTACAGCAAATCTTCCTAGAAGCCATTTCCAGGCACAGGAATAACAGAAAGACAACCGGGATCAGATAGCAGAAATTTACCAAGGGCAAACCATGCCTAACCCAATCTGATTGCCTTCTACAAAGAGAAGGGGACAGCAGAAGATGAGTTTTCTTCTTGACTTTAGCAAGGGTTTCCACATGGCCAGGACTGAATGAGTGTGTCACACAGTAAACAGGAAATTAGTTGGACTGTCAGGCTTAACAACCAGTGGTCAGTGATTTGAAGTCTGACTGGTGAACAGTTATAAGTGGTGTTCCTGAGGGGTCATGGCTTGGGGAAATTGTCCTTAACACTGTCATTAACAACCTGGACAACAGGACAATGTGCACCCTCAGGAAGCTTGCAGATAACACCAGAATGGGTGGCTGGCGCAGTTGATGTGCCAGTCAGGGGGACCTCAGCAGGCTGGGAAAATGTGCTGACAGGAACCTCATGAAATTCAGCAAAGGCAAATGCAGAATCTTGCACCTGGGATGGAACAACCCTATCTACCAATACAGGCTGAGGATAACTACCTAGAAAGCAGCTTGGCTGAGAGACTTGGGGGTTCTGGCAGGCAACAAGATGAAAAAAGCAGTACCTTTGCAGTGATGGTGGCTCAACACATACAGGGATGCAGTAAAAAAAGTGCGGCCAACAGGTCAGTGGAAGTGATTACCACTCCCCCCCACCCCCGCGAGTCAGCACTTGTGACACTGTATATAGAGTATTGAGTCCAGTTTTCAGAGAATCACAGAATGGTTGATGTTGGAAGGGACCTCTGGCAGTCATCTGGTTCAACCCCCACTGCTCAAGCAGAGCTACCTAGAGACAGTTGCCCAGGTCTGTGTCCAGACGGTTTTTAATATCTCTAATGAGAGGTCCCTGGGCAACCTATTTCAGTGCTCAGTCATCTGCACAGTAAAAAAGTGTTTCCTTATGTTCAAACAGAACCTCCTGTGTTTCAGTTTGTGCCCACTGCCTCTGGTCTTGCCACTGGACACCACTGGAAACAGCCTGGCCCCATCCATGCTCTCTACGCTCTCCCTTCAGGCATTGATACGCATTAATAAGATCCCTCCCAAGCCATCTCTTCTCTAAGCTAAACAGTCCCACCTTTCCTCACATATGAGGTGCTCTGGTCCCTTCATCATCCTTGTGGCCCTTCATTGGACTCGCACCACTATGTCCATGTCTTTCTTGTACTGGACACAGTACTCCAGATGTGGCCTTACTACTGCTGAATAAAGA